TATCGATATATCGATACTTAGGATCGATACGCCCATCCCTAAACCACACCCCTAGATGCTCGTCACAAGCTATGCAATGAATCCTGTTTTTATTTTCACTAATGAACAGGTTCCCTAAAATATGCTTGTTTCTCCCTGTTCTATGTATTTAAAACGTAATGCATTTCAAAGAAATGTGAAGAAACTTATATGGAAAGAAAATGTATTTTTTCACCTGACGCCTATTTAATTTATCAAGATCTTTATACAGCCTTATTTATTGTATATTAAAGGCATAGTTGACCCCATAACGCTGTGTTGTTCCATACCTGGCAAACCTAACAAACGCAAAGCCTTAACGAATTGTTCTCACTTGAAAACAGAATACACAAACAAAATATGAACATTTTATTAAGAAACCATGTCAAAAGTTGTGCATCTAGTAACGTTTTTCTCTCCTGTGGCTTTTTCTCTTAGAATTGTACTTCGACAGAGGAAACCATCATGAGTTTGTCTCTCTGGTTAAGGATTTAGCTCGGCCTGGAGAAATGGCTCAGTCTCAGACCTTTGATTTTGAGTTCACACACGTGGAGAAACCGTACGAGTCCTACACAGGCCAGAATGTAAAACTACGGTATGTTCCCGTGGTGTAGCTCTGGAAAGATTGTTTAAATGAGCTCCTACAATATATTGTGCACTTAGTTGACCGTTAACTCTCTTTGATGTTGGTTTAGATGCTTTCATTTTAAACTCTAATTCTTCCTACAGCTATTTCCTGCGGGCGACCATCAGCAGGAGACTTAATGACGTCTGCAAAGAGTTGGACATTGTAGTGCACACGCTCAGCACATATCCAGAACTCAACTCCTCCATAAAGATGGAGGTGGGAATTGAGGACTGTCTACACATTGAGTTTGAGTACAACAAGTCCAAGTAAGTCAAAACAGCCAGAGAATGTGAGTTTATGGTTTTAACTTAAAACCGTTAATATAATTTAAATTGGTCATCCACTGATATCCTGCTTGGATTTTTCCCTGTTTTGTTTTTGTTTGTTTTTTTAACCTAAAATGACAGGTATCACCTGAAAGATGTGATTGTAGGGAAGATCTATTTCCTGTTGGTGCGAATTAAGATCAAACACATGGAAATTGATATTATTAAACGGGAGACAACAGGGACGGGGCCAAATGTGTACCATGAAAATGACACCATTGCAAAATACGAGATAATGGATGGAGCACCTGTACGAGGTATGAAACAATTCTTAACACCTCCGTTTATAAGGATTACGTTTCTGATGGATTAATGTGAAACATACAACATTTACAAGTGACTCGTATTTTCAATGTTGAAATGGAGTGTACTGATTTTTAACTTTATCTTTACTGGCTTTAGGTGAATCCATCCCTATCCGTCTTTTTCTGGCTGGGTACGAGATGACGCCCACCATGAGGGACATTAATAAGAAATTCTCTGTTCGTTATTACCTGAATCTTGTACTCATTGATGAAGAAGAGAGACGTTACTTCAAACAACAGGTTGGTCTTTACTTTCTTACTAAATTAATAAATAAAAAATAGCAAACTAAATGTGAAAACAATTAAGACTATATGATCAAAGGCACTTTAATTTTCATTATTGATGTCCAGAAATAACTACTTTG